TTTTAGTCGAAAATTGGCTGAAAGGCCCGAAAATTGGCTGAAAATCACCTGTAAGTCTGCTGGAAATGGCCTGAAAAACGCCTGCTGAGAACGGAAAGAATAGCTCCTTCGAACAGCAAAAAAAGGAATCTGGGATCCGAGTTTCGAGAAACTCGTTTTCCAGGTGAAAAAGTGGAAATTCGGCTGCTTTGCCGCCTGAAAATCAGCTAAAAATCGCCTAGTAATTGGCTCAATATTGCCTGAAAATTATCTGCCATTTGGCTGAAAATCAATATCGGAAATGACGAAATCGCGATTTTGAAGACTGGATTCGAGCATCAGAATTCGAAAAATTGATCTAATTTACTAGATTCCGGCCCTCAGCCAATAATGAGCGGAATTTGAACCGAAACCAATTATATAAACGGCGAAATCAGCTCATTTCCAGTCTAATCTTTCTTGATCACATTCTATTTTTAACCTCTTCCGGACCTAGAAAATAATGTCATCGAAGCGTGCCGCCGCCAGTAATTTGAGATAATTGAAGTGAAAAGAGGCAGAGAAAATGACCATTTTCAAAAGAAAGTGGGATCGAATTTCAGTGAGAAAAGCTAAGAAAATTGATGGAAAAAATTGAGATATTTGGACGGAAAATGACCTGAAAATGATTGAAATTAAATGAGAAATTAGTATTTTGGACATCCAGACATTTGGAAACACAGAAACTAGGGTTTTAGGTAAACCTATGGATTATGGTTGGAGAGAAACCGATTGATATTGACCAAAATGGCCAGCATTTTTGTAAATATCCGTATATCCAGACATCTAGACAACCAGACAGACAAAAAAAAACTAACAAAAAAACCCCAAATTACCCTCCTCAATTTGCAGGTAGACGCAAAATTAGTGATGGACGTGGTGGCGCGGATGGAGGACACAGAACCATTCTCAGAGGAACTTTTGAGCTCGATGAAGCGGCTGTGGAGTGATGCAGGAGTACAGGATTGTTTCTCGAGAAGCAACGAATATCAGTTGAACGATTCCGCCAAATAGTGAGTCTTTTCTGAAGTTTTTACCTCTTTTATAAGGGCACCTATTTGCTCTAGGGACCTAAAATCGAAGTCCCTCATAGAGATCCTTTACCAGAAAATCGCTGAGATACTCAGCTCGACATTTGGAATCTCGGCCATATTCTTAAGCCCTCAGCAAACTTTTTGAATTTCTGGGCCAGAATTAGGATTTCTAAGCCGTTTTTTTTTAAATATTCTACACCATTTTCTAAATTCCTAGGTCATTCTCTGAATATTTAGGCCGTTTTCTGAAATTACAGCTCATAATTTTGTTTTCTCAGACATTATGTCAATTTTCAAGTCCGTTCCCTTATTTGGATCGTTTTTTTTTTTATTTTTAGGCCATTTTCTTAGGGCCATTTAATAAATTTCTAGGCTATTTTTCTGAATTTCCAGCTCATAATCTTAATTTCCCAGATTTTCAAATCCGTTCTCTTATTTCTAGATTTTTTTTTAGGTTTTTAGACCACTTTCAAAATTCTGGGCCTTTTTCTGAGTTCCTAGGCCACGTTAAAAATTTCTAAACTATATTTTCAATATCTTTTTTTTTTCAGTTTCCTCGACGATTTGGAACGACTCGGAGAGGCGTCATACCAGCCAACAGAACAGGATATCCTCAGAACTCGTGTCAAAACCACCGGTATTGTCGAAGTGCACTTCACATTCAAGAATCTTAACTTTAAGTGAGTTTTTTTTTTCGCTTTTGGAATGGAAAAATAGGATTTTTATCCCAAACAAGAGCAATTCCGACCAAAAAATTGGCGGAAAGTGATGATTTTCGGCTATAAATCCTCCAAAATTTTGGCTGTTTGACCTAAATTTGACCATTTTCCAGATTATTCGACGTTGGAGGTCAACGATCAGAAAGGAAGAAGTGGATCCATTGTTTCGAAGACGTCACCGCCATCATTTTCTGCGTTGCCATGTCAGAGTACGATCAAGTGTTGCACGAGGATGAGACAACGGTACGGATTACAGTAGAATTCTAAAGAAAAAAAATTTGAGTGTGAAAGCTCTGGACGCTTGGTTTTGAGGCTAGATGGTTCGAATTCCCTGCAAAATGGTTCGAAAGCCATGCCAAAAGCTTGGTTTTGAGCCGAGTTATAGTCGAAATACTAGAAATTTTCATTCTGAGCATTTCCATAAGCATTCTGAGCAATTTCCATAAGCACTATTTGGAATTTTAGGAAAATTTTGGATTTTTTCGGCCATTTTCGGAGTTTCTAGGCCACACTTTCAAATTCTAGGTGGCAAATTAGAATTTCTAGGTGACGGCTTTTCGACAGTTGGGCCAATTTTTCAATCTCCAGGCCATTATCAGAATTTCTAGATCAAAATCCGGATTTCTAGACCTAATTTTCCCCTCATTTTTCAGAACCGAATGCACGAGTCACTGAAGTTGTTCGACTCGATCTGCAACAACAAATGGTTCACCGACACCTCGATCATTCTCTTCCTGAACAAGAAGGATCTGTTTGAGGAGAAGATCAAGAAGAGCCCACTGACGATCTGCTTCCCAGAATATTCAGGTACCTCTAATTGAAGGGCAGACCCTGTTTTCAAAAGAAAAATAAGTTTCAGGACGACAAGACTATCATGAGGCATCCGCCTACATTCAGGCACAATTCGAGGCGAAGAACAAGTCGGCTAACAAGGTATGTGGACAGCTGGATATTGGAATATTAGGACAGACTTGAAATGACATCCGGATATCTGGACACACAGACAAAACGAATTTGACGAGAAATAAAAGGACATCCGGGTTTCTAGATATTATGGTGCTAGGACAGATAGAAATTGGGCTGAGCGGACATCCAGACATCTGAACACGCTGACAGACAATACCTAGATAGGGTTAACTGTCTATAAAGACAGACAGACTGATGAAACATCTGGTATTTCTGAAACCCGAACATCTGGATATCAGGACAGACATATGAATTTCAAAGATTTCGCAATAGAGCGCACTAGCCGAACAAAAGTTCACCGATCCTCCAGGGAATCGGGAATTTGGTGGAGGGATAATCTATCTTTTTCATCCGTTTCTTCCCCGCCGGTTTTTGAGATTTTTGAAGGATCGAAAATCCCAGAAATTGTGGGAGGGATGTTTCATATTCAATTTCAAAGAGTTCAAAAATAAAAATAAAATCAGGATTACTGTAATCTATAGAATGGTTTAACGCGCAAAAAAAAAACGGTTTTTTGTAAGTAAGAGACGCAGAGAAGCTCGACTGTCTAGCCGTCCGCTTCCTCTCCAAATAGGATAAGTCGCTTCAAAATTGGCCTAGAAACTTGGTTTTTCGACTCTTTTGATTGTCTTAACCACAGCTAACCGATGGTACCAAATTCGGAATTCTAGGCCTCGGTCCCCAAAAGTTAGGTCACTAAACTTAACAATGTCTCAATTTTTAAAAATTAACCTAGGAACCTTGTATCTGGATCAATTGACCTCACAAAATTGGTAATTTGCAGGAAATCTACTGTCACATGACATGCGCCACTGACACCACCAACATTCAATTCGTGTTCGACGCCGTCACCGACGTGATCATCGCCAACAATCTCCGTGGATGCGGACTGTACTAGACACTCCTTTTCCCACTTTTTGGCTTTAATTTTACTCTGTCTCTCCTTTAAAATTCACTTTTTTTTGAATAATTTTTTATTCAAAAGTTTCATTTTTTTTCTAATTTTTCTAAATTTTATCCTCCAAAAAAAATTCAAAAACCCCTAAAAATAACTCTCCCCAAACAAAATGTGTGTATCTTCTGCTTTCCATTTTTTCCGAAAAAAAAACTCCAAACTCCGCCCACTTTTCCCTTTTTCGAGTATATGCATCTATAATTTTTCTCCTGAGCTTATCTTTTTTCTTTTAATTTTTTCTCATACTCTTCTCGATTTTCTCACACTTCACTGACGAATTTAACCCCAGAAAATTTGAAATTTATCAGTGGAGCGCACTTACTCACTCACCACTATCATAATATATATTCACAACAACTAGGATCCCTTTTTTCTGTCACAAAACAATCATTATTTATTTTTTTTTTGATCTACCTATTTATTTTTTTTCTTGGTCAATTTCCCCAGCTCCGCCCACTCACTCACCCCCAATTTTTCCGTGTAGGCCCCGCCCTCTTTATTAAGTAAGCCACGCCCCCTCTTCGATTCAGTTCCCTCCCATCTTCTCTCCCCGTTTTAAAGGTCTCTACACAACAAGCTGCTTCGCCCCGCCCACTTTTTTAGTCACAATATTATTTTTTTGTTTTAAAGTCTTATTATTTTAATTTTGAATGTTTTGGCAGCTTCCTCCTCCCTCTTTTTATTGATTTTCTGAACCTTTCTTCCCTTCCCCTACCCTCCTCATCGCCCCGCCCCTTTTCTTTGTCATAATTTTTTATGACTCCGCCCCCTTCTCTCACAACATCAACAGCATACAACTTATTGTATTCCAGACACCGTGATTTTTTGGTTGCAATTTTTTTGAACGCTCAAAACGAAATTTTTTTTTCTCTTTTTGAAAAAATTCCATCTTTTTACGCCAAAAAATTTTGGAAATTTGGCCTAAAAAGTGAAATTTTTCGAAAAAATTTGGTTTTGAGTGAAAAACTTGCACCCGGCAAAGGTCACCTGTGTACCTAATGACATTTGGGAAAAAAAAAACAAAAAAAGAACGACCCCCATCAGAATTTTTTTTTTGATTTTTTTGATTTTTTGATTTTGAATTCTCTATATGAAAATACGAATGTCTTGATGATTTTGCGTTTTGGCTTTTAATTTTTCAAAGTTGTTCAAAAATGTGGGTTTGGTTTTAGAAAATGTTCGGAGTTTTAAGGAAATATTTTCGAAAAACTGGAAAAAAAACTACTTTTTTCTTTTGAAAATCATGGAAATAGATAAATTAATGAGTAAAATCCAAAAAAATAGTTACAAAAAAAAAAGAAAAAGATTTGCCACCAGATGGAATTGAACCCGCGTTGAAAATTTTTATAACGAGCGCGCTAGCCACTGCGCCACGAGAGCAGCACCGCCCATGTAGGTGAAGGGCGTAGAGGCCTCTGCTTCTTTTGAAGCGGAGCGCGCCCAAATTTTTCGAGAAATGTTTTTGAAATTAAAAAAAAAATTTCAATGTTGTCCACGCAGACTACACAAGCGGAGTTTTTTGAGCGATCGCTTTCTTCATATTTTTTTCGATTTTTTCACTGATTTTTCAATTCTCAAACAGCAGAAAAAACTTCCGGGAAACAACAGGAAAAATCAAAACATAAATTTGATGACGATACTTCTTTTTTCGCACAGCACGACTCATGACCTAAGCGGAACACTGCGATAAGCAAAAATAAAATTTGTACACCAATCTTCCTTTTTATGCATGACAAATTTTTCTTGGCGGTGAGATTCATCGATTTTCTGTTGGTGACGCTTCTTTTTTTTCCATGGGTAGACCAGTGTTCGAATTCCCTACAAATTAGTTCAAAAACCAGGCCAAACATTGATTTTTAAAATAGTGGAATTACTCGACAATTTTATTCTGAGCAATTTCATGATATTGAGCATACTCGGCTGAAACTCATGATTTTTGAGTTCTGAAAAGTGAAAACTGATCAGGAAGTCGTCCTGGGCATTATCCAGTCAAATTTGACAAGATGGCCTAGAGAATCAAATTTCGGAAAAGTTAGCTTACCAAACCATTTTTTGCAGTGCTTCGAATTTCAGCGTGGCTAGATTTGCCTTTGAATTCTTCATAACTTGGTTTAAAAATCAGAGCAAAATCTTGATTTTGAGCCGAGTTATACTCGAAAACTCGAAAATTTTATTCTGAGCACTTTCACAAAATTGAGCATAACTCGGCTCAAACTCAATACTTTTGATTTCTGAAAAGTGGAAAATGATTGGGAAGTCATTTGGAATAGAACCCAAGAAAATTCGGCATGGTGGCCTAGGAAACCGAATTTCGATAAAGTTAGGCCATCAAATTTCGTCTCGTTTTTGTCTGAAAATTTTCTACCATTTCCTTTAAAAGCGCAATGAGAATTTGAGAGTGGTTGAGGAGATCCAAATATCCTTTCACATGACCCTTTTTGTTTAATCCATATTTGGAACGGGCCGGGCCGGGCAGCTAGGGAAATTTCATCGGCCCGGCCCGGGCAGAAATTTTCCAAATATGGTTTAATCTCCTTGGTGTCACTGTGTTCTTAGAAGACAAAGGACCCTTCTTGATGACGTAATAATGAAATAGTGGACAATTTACTTTGTCTGCAGCCTCTTTCTCTCTCATCTTCCCAAATTCAAATTCTTCCCAAAAATGTCCAGTTTTGAATGTCCCATCTCCCGCCAAACCTGACCCCGAACTCCTTCAATGGAGGGTGGATTAGGTGTACAAGGGTCCACCCTTCCCTCCATTCATTCTTCTTCATTCTGTCCTGTTAGGTGGTCCTTACCTTTTCTGTCGTATTTTTTCCTTTTTTTTTACTGTTTGGCCCCAAGATTCACTGGTTTTTTGGAGTTCTGAACCTTTGTTTTCCCTTCTTAATTACCATTTTTCAAAGGTGTGCTCACTGTATTTTTGTTATAACGATGCTGGCCTAGTTTTCCCCAGCTTAGGGTTTTCTAGGCCACCATTTCTATCGAGTTCCAACCGTATATTCCTAGCGATTTTAAAAGTCATTTCCCCAGATTTTCTGCAAGAACCCTGGGATAATTGAAATTTTACGTGCTAATGTGTCTGCAATCTAACGTGATGGTGTCAGTTGGTGGTGTTTGCAGACTTGGCGCTACATTTTACGACAGCTAGAGTTTTTGGGCAAAATTAAACCGTTTTCCCCTCCAATTATTCAAAAACCTCCCCGAAAATTCTCTGTTTCGAATCTCCCGCCACCAAATTCTTCGTCCTAAGGTCAAACAGTGTCTAATCCTCTCACTACCTCGTTTTCTCAAAAAAATTCTCACGGTCAATCATCATGTAGTGTTAATCTACCTGTCAGTCAGTTGGCTCTTTGGTCCTGAAGGATCTTCCCTTTGTTCTCGAAGGTTTTTTTGTCTCCAACCATCTAATCCTCCTATCTGCCTCTCACTATCTCATTTTCCCAGAAATGAGGACACCTGTAGATTAGATTTGTCTAGGAGAACTCCTTCTCGTTAGTCAGTCAGTCAGTCAGTTTGTCAGATCACTTGACAGTGTGGTCTACCCAACCCACAGACCTTCCCCGGGTTTCTTATCGATTTTTTTACCTTCGGTTTGGTTTTTCTTGTACTCCGACTTGTCTCGGTTCCTGCTCTCAGTCCCTAGTGTTACTTATACCCATGGGTCCTAAGCTATATACGTGTAGGTGCTGCCTGGAACAAGCCTTTAGGTGTTCATTTTCTATGAAGCCCAGGGGGTCTTGCCCTTGCTCAGGGCTCGGTTCCAGCTCGAATAGGAGATTCTGTGCACCGACCCCGGCCCCTTACTCTTCCTCCATCTGATCCTCCTCTCACTATCTCATCTTCTTAGAAATGCGACCACCCCTGTAAACCAGATTCTGTCTAGTCAGTGAGATTGACGGCTCTAGTGGAGATCATTCCCTACCTGCAGGCTGTTTACCACCTGCTGTTCTACTACTTCGGATCTTTCACTACCAAAAGATGGCTCTTCTGCTACTCTCACTCTTCTACTACCTTGGGATCTTTTACTATTGTCTTTTACTATCCGGGGGAATTTTTCTACTACTTGACTTATTCTATAGAAAATCCGAGGGATAAGCTGGTCCAAAAATACAGTAAAAGGCCATTCCTTCTTTTTCATTTCTCACGTGCCCTCCCTTATTGCATTTCACTGTTTTTACTTCCAAAATTGATTATTCTATTCACATTTCCAGTAAAAACTATTCCCAAACTTGGATATTCAAAATGAGCATCGTTCAACAACTTGTCGCAATGGGATTCCCATCGGAGTCTGCCGAGTTGGCCGCCGGCAATAATAGGAATTTGGATCAGGTATGTCGGGTACTGTAGCGTACTGTAGTATGAAATTAGTTTGGATTACTGTAGACCGGGGTACTTAGTACGTAAGACAAGGGTGCTATAACTACAGTAACCCAAGATGAGCAGGTCAGGATACTGTAGACTGTTACTATGGTTACAGTAACCTGGCCTACAGAAATTTTGGTGGGAATTTGAAAATACAGAAGTTTTTGGCGGGAATACGAAGATTCGAAAGTTTTGGCGGGAATTCAAAAGCTCAAAAATCTTGGCGGGAATTCGAAAATACAAATATTTTGGAAAGAATTTCGAAAATTCCGGAAGTTTCAGCGGGAGTTCGAAAATCCAAAAATTTTTGCGAGGATTCAAAAATTTAGAAAGTTTGCCGGGAATACGAAAATTCGAAAATTTTGGTGGGGATTCGAAAATTCGAAAGTTTTGGCGGGAATTCAAAAGCTCAAAAATCTTGGCGGGAATCCAAAAATTCAAACTTTTTGTCAGGGATTCGAAAATTCAAAAATTTGGAGAAAATTCGGCGGGAATTCAAAAGTTCGAAAATCTTGGCGGAAATTATAAGAAAAAAAGATTTTTTGGCCGAAATTCAAAAATTCAAAAATTTTGGCGAGAGTTCAGAAACGCAGAAATTCTGGCGGGAATTTCAAAATTCAAAAGCTTTGGCGGCAATTCGAAAATTCAAAAATAAAAAATACAAAAATTTTGGCGGGGATTCGGAAATTCAAATCTTTCGGCGGAACTTCGAAAATTTTAAAAATTTTGGCGGGAATTTTAAAATTCAAAAACATCCTCACTAATCCTCTTCCAGGCCCTGAACTACATCGAAAATGATGGCATCGGATTCGAGTCCATCGGCACGCCATCCCCATCAGAATCCTCCGTTCCCACTGAAGCCGACCTCAACGTTCCCACCGTCGCTCAGAGTTTCCGATGCAATGACTGCGGAAAGCTCCTTCCCACCGACGATGCAATGATTAAGCACGGTCAGGTGACCAAGCATCTCAATTTCAGTGCCACCACTGAAAAGGCGTTGACTGTAGAGCAGAAGCAAGAGCAACTGGCGGAGATTGTACGGAAGATCAAGGAGAATAATGAAAAGAAGGCGGTGGCAGAAGTGGAAGAGGCTCGGGAGCTGGAACTCAACCGTCGGAATGCAGGACAAGCGATGGCAGGATACCGGGAGGAGGCCCGTGAGCGAGAGATCCGAGAAGCAGCTAAGCAGCTCCGCCAGAAGAAAATTGACGATGAAGCTGCTAAAAAACATGTCCTGGAGCAGATCCGTCTGGATCGTTTGGATCGCGAGGAGCGAATGGCTAAGAAAACTGTGGCACCTCCCGCCATTGTGAAGGTTGTGGTCCCACCGAAGGACGGTACCATCACAAACATCCAGTTCCGACTCTGGAATGGAAAAGTCGTTAAGAAAGGGTTCCGAGTGGAGGAGCCGCTCATTACACTCCGTGTTTGGATTGAGGCCAACCATGCCATGGGCACCCCATTCACTATGATGACTCCATTCCCACGCAAGGTTTTCAGTGAGGAGGACATGGAAAAGTCGTTGAAGGATTTGAGTGAGTTTTTAGGGGGGTTGGGGGGAAGAGCTCAAAAGTGGGCGGAGCTTGCGGGTGTTCATTTTCCACATCCCAAATTGGGAAGTTTCGAAGATAAATGACTTGATGCGTCTGAAAATTTTCTACAAATCGGTCCAAAAATCAATCGAAAATCTCCATTTTGAGCCGAGTTATGGTCGAAATACTCGAAAATTTTATTCTGAGCAATCCCAAAAATCCAATCATAACTCGGCTCAAAGTCAATATTTTTGAGTTCTGAGAAGTGGAATGTGCTCAGAAAATCATGCGGAACCGAATCCGTATAAATTGCCATAATGGCCTAGAAACCCAAATTTTGCGAAAGTTAGGCCACCAACCCATTTTCGTTTTATATTGAGAATTTTATACTGCTAGAAGCGCTTTTGAAATCCTTACAAATCGGGCCAAAAACCAATCCAAATTTTCCATTTTGAGCCGAGTTATAGCCGAAATACTCGAAAT